TTTCCCAGTGCCTGTCCACACTGTTTGCTCATTTTGCAGTCACTGAAATAAATACTCCCAAATATTTTGATTTGGTAGTGCTGGTCAACACTTTACACACAGTAGGGTAGTCGATCAAGGTATTCTTTTTCCCTTAATGCGCTATTTTACATTTAGAAATATTTAACTGTAATTTTCCCTGCTTTGACCAATCTTCCAGCAATGCCAAATCATGTTCCATGTTGTATACACCTCCAGGGTTATCAACCTTGCTATTACACACCTTAGTATCATCAGCAAAAAGACATACAATACCCAGCAACCCTTTAGTTATATCACTTACATATAAAATAAATAGAACAGGACCTAGTACAGAGTCCTGTGGAACCCCACTAGTGATGGTCTGTTCTGAATGAACACCATTTACAACCACACTCTGGTATCTAGCCTTTAGCCAACTGCATATCTGCTGAACCATCCAAGGGTTAAGGCACAGCTTGGACAACTTTTTTCTTAGATATGCTTGCTGAAATGAAGATAGGCTATGTCCACAGTACCACCCTGGTCCAAAACATTAGTGATCTAAACAAAAAAAAAAAAATCAGATTAGTCTGACATGATCTGCCTTCAGTAAAGCCATGCTGCGTTGGATCCAGCAAATTTGTGTTTTAGGTGATCAATTATCCTTTTTTTCAGTAGTGATTCCATTAACTTGATTACAACCAGTGTTAACCATACTGGCCTATAATTGCCAGCTTCTACCTTGTTGCCTTTCTTGTAGATAGATACAATGTTAGCTGTCTGCCAGTCATTGGGAACTTCTTTTGTTAGAAGAGAAGGATTAAAAAGATCTGTTAATAGTCCAGCAACTATTTCTCTAACTTCTCTAAGAACTCTGGGTTGAATACCATTTGGAACCGTTGCTTTATTAAGCATTAACTGAGCCATTTTCCTCTGCTACCACTGGCCTTAGAAATCCTGGCAATTAACCATCATTACTAGAACCAATATGATCCCCCAACTTTTTATTGGTCTCCCTCAACACAAGTGTTGTGCCCACTTTTCACTTCAGTGATCCCCGTTGTATTTTTTCCTTTTATGACTGATGTACCTAGAAATGGTTTTATCTCTTTTTATTAATAGATATATAGCCATTCCCTCCTCTTTCTGTGCTTTGGCAGCACTGATAATGTGTTTGGGCTCCTTTTTTGTTTTCTTAATATACTTCTTTATCAGCTGCACTTTGTTTCCTTGAATCTCCTATATACTGACTTTTTTTTCTCTTTTACTATCCTACTTACCTCTTTAGTGAATCATATTGTTTTTTTTTACTCTACTAATTTTCCTGACTTATAATCTAGTTGCCTCTAGGATGGTAGACTTTACCTCTCCCTTCATTGTCATTTGAGTTATCTCGTCAAGCAACAGGTTGTTATATTCTTTAGACTGTCCTAGGGGTCTCTATACTACACCAATTCTAAGGAAAGATCCTGTAGTTGGAAGGCAAGCCAAGAGGGTTTCAACTATTGCATTTTGTTTTTTGAATTAACATTAGCCTTATGCTATTTTTGACATATATGGCAACTCCAACTCCCCTCTTTCCTACTCGGTCTTTGATATATAGTAGTACCCTGGTGTAGTTATGTCCCAGTCATTTGAATCCTTGAAACATGTCTCTGTAATCGAACAAAATTACAATTGTCCCTAGACACAAAGCTATCAGCTCCCAAAGCTTTTTTAAAACTGCGAGCATTAGTGCACATGATGTGACAAACCCCACTATCTACTTCTGTATTTTTAACACCAGATGCTTTAAAGTGGAACTTTAGTCAGAAACTTTAGTCCTGCTAAATCACTGCAGGCTGGCCCCTTTTGCAGATTTAGCTCTGTAAAACATTACAAATAAGTGCCTATACTGTTTAACATCCAGTAATACACTGTCTCATCCTGCTCTGCACATGCTCAGTTGCTCTCCATTTTTAGGCACTGCCGAGATTGAAGAGGCTAATCTGCTGACAGTCTAAAGATTAAAACGGAACTAAACCCATCAATTTAACAGTTTCAAAATGCTGTCACATTTGCTTGTGTTCTCAACCAAACTGTCAAACCATGAAATGATTGGTGGTATAACTTATCATGTGTGCAGCATCGTGACAGTTGCAGTTCAAACAGATGGCAGCTTCCTTGACTGAAAAGGATAGGGGGTTTAGTACTGCTTCTCAGGTCTTTGGGCTTCAACAAAATGGCAGCCTCCAGCAAGAAGAAACAGGAGCAATGCTGGAGGCAAATTACAGCACACACTAATTTTGGCTGCATAAATAATAATTTGGAATGTATGTTCCTTTCTAAAGAACACTATTTTTTATCAATTGTTATGAGTAAAGTTCCACTTTAACTGAATTAACTATCCCATAAGTCCTTAGCAACACAACCCTCACATTTGTTTTAACCTGCTGGGGACAGAAATACTTCTCATAGATTTAAATCTCTGCCCCTATTTCTCAGTTTAAATACATGTTCAAAAAATTACTGAATGGAATAGTAGGAAGCTCAGTGCCCTTGTTTGGGGAACGCAGACCATCATTTGTGCAGCTCAATATCAGACCACCTGATAGCATCACCATCATGATTAACATAACCAAAACCTTCAGCTTTGCACCAACCTTTTAACCAAATATTATACTCTTCTATATGAAGGATTTGTTGTTCATTATAGATGGGTAAGATCTCTGCAAATGAGTGCACTTGCAAAAAGGAACTCTCTGAAGACCTATATTCAAGAGTAGCTAATCTGCATAAGGTTGGAATGGGATACAAAGCAATCTCAAAGTATTCAGGCATACATCAGTAGGCAGACACATTGTCTTATTAATGGAGACAGTTTAATACTGTGGCTACTCTTCCTACAAGTGGGTGCCCAGCCAAAATGACTCCCAGGGCACAACCCAGAATCCCCAATGAAGTAAAGAAAAACCCACGACTAACAGCTAAGGCTTGAAGACCTCACTTGAACTGGCAAACATCCCTGTTCATGAGTCTACCATATGTAAGCCTTTGAACAGGCAGGCTTTCCATGGCATAACACCATAGAGGAAGTCACTACTGTCCCAATAAAAAATTGCTGCACCCCTGAAGTTTGTCAAAGAGTACCTTGGCATACCGCAATGCTACTGGGAAAATGTTTTGTGATAAAACAAAAGTTGAATTGTTTGGGAAGAATACTCAGCACTATGTATGGCTCAAAAAGGGCACAGCTTACCAACATCAAAACATCATCCCAGTGGTGAAGTTTGATTTAGGCTTGCTTTACTGCCTCAGGGCCCAGACCACTTTCAATCATCATGGGGAAAATGAATCTCCAAGTTTACCAACATTTCCTGCAGGATAATGTCAGGCTGGTTGTCTACCAGACAAAGCTTAGTAGATGTTGAGTGACGCAACAGGACAATGACACTAAGCAGCTATTTGGAGCGGCCCAGTCCTTAACTCCATAGAGATGCTGTGGAATGACCTTAAGAGAGATGTTCACACCAGACCTCCTACAAATGTGTCTGAGCGGAAGCTGTAGAGAGGAATGATGAAAAATTCCTCCTGAACATTGTGAAAGGTCTGATCCAGAGTAAACTTTTCCTTTAGCATTGTGATTCTTTTAGTGTTTTCATTAAAGACATGAGAAATTAGAATTATTTGTGTGGTGTTATCCTTTTTCTTGCCACTGTAGCTTCATTACAATTTGGGACAGCAAGCCTTTCACATCAAAAATGACTTTTAGGTAAACTTCAGAGTAATAACTCTAGCTCATCCATACTGGATAAATGCCAGTGACTGCAAGGGCATCTAGAAAACAGTAGTGTGCCTTGTTCACACCAAAATGCTGGTGTGATGTGCAGTGCATTGTGGAAAAATGCAGACATGCTGCATTTTTCCACAGTGCAGTGGATGGCACTGCATTGCAGCGTAGCACACCACACTGCTGTGTGGAGGTTTGAATGAAGTGTAATTTCTAGTATAAAAGGATCATAGTAAATGGACAAATTGTACACTTTGCTTACATTTGAAGTATTTTATGTCTTAAAATTTCATGGAAAAATGGCAGGCAATATTGCCAAAAATTATTTATTAATAAGAAAAAAAAAGCAAAAATGTTAAATTGCTATGAGCCATAAAGCATATATAGGTGCAGGAACTGAAGTAGTTATAGAAGAGGTTATAATTATTTTTTACCAAAGTGAATCTAACTAGTAAATATAGGTGGCTAAAACATAGTAAATAATTATACAAGATCATACTGTGACAGGAACACGCTTAGCGAGAAAAATACAATTCCTCCTGTTAAATCTCTGATTGATATGGTTATGTTGTTGACATGCACTCACCGACCACTTAGGTACACTTATTAGGTACACCTTGCTAGTGCCAAGAAAATATCCCCCACACCATTACATCACCACCACCATCCTGAACCATTGATACAAGGCAGGATGGATCCATGCTTTTGTGTTTGTTTATGCCAAATTCTGACCCTACCATCTGATTGTCGCGGCTGAAATCAAATACCCATCTCCTCTGACCTCTGACATCAACAAGGCATTTTCGTCCATACAGCTGCCACTCTTTGGATATTTTCTCTTTTTTGGACCATTCTCTGTAAACCCTACAGATTGTGTGTGAAAATTCCAGTAGATTAGCAATTTTTGAAATACTCAGACCAGCCTGTCTGGCACCAACAACCATGCCACATTCAACGTCACTTAAATCCCCTTTCTGATGCTCAGTTTGAAGTTCAACAAGTCGTCTTCACCACTTCTACATGCATAAATGCATTCAGTTGCTGCCATGTGATTGGCTGATTAGCAGTTTGTGTTACCAAGCAATTAAACAGGTGTACCTAATAAAGTGGCCTGTGAGTGTAGCTGCCTTTTTATGAGAGGTTTCTGTTTAAATGACTATCTGATAAGTGTCTTCTGCCCCTTTTCCTACTCTCACAGACGTATAAATCAGAAGTCAGTGTGGTGCAGTGGATGGCTCCCCTGTTCCCCTCTACGCATTGCAGCAACAGCTGGCCATGCAGATTGTGTGTCTCTCTCTTGATCCATCATGGAGCTGAACTGGAACTAGTGGATGTAAAAGGGCAAACACCTCTGTTTGTGGCCACAGAAAATGGACACTTGGAATGTGTTCAGGTTCTTCTAAAAGCTGGAGCAGACCCTAATGGCAGCCCACATAATCGGAGTTCCCCGGTATATCACGCAGCTCGTATGGGCAGAGCTGATATATTAGAAGAGCTGATCAGGTAAAAACCTTTAATGCACTCTGTCTATGATAACTTATGACTATCCTGTGTGATGCAAAATGAAAGTGTTATCAGATTGGTCTATTTTATATTTGGGTGGACATATTGGTCTGTATATTGGCATTTTCTCAATAGAAGTTCAGTCACTTGCACCATATGTAGCTGGACAGTTTCTTTAGCATGTCGCAAGAGTATATAACAATAGTATGTTGTCTTGGCAGGAGAATTTTTTTTTCTGATAAAGGAAGGCATGGCTGCCATATAGGAGCATGGAATATATATGATCTATAGATGAGCTGAGCTTTGTTCTACATGTCATTGATATGTGTACCATAGTGAGCCCTGCATAGTAAAGTCCTTTAATACATGATTGTGGTGAATGTCTATCTAAAAAAGAAAATAGGTTTCCTATTTTTTCAACCCCCCCTTAGTGTGATGAGTTTAGTAGGCCCTGCTACGCTTCCTAAGCATTTCAGCCAGGGTACAATACTATCTGTCTTTGCTCCACTTCACTGTATGGCCTGCTCGATGACCCCTTTCTCTTCTTTAACCACTTTAATACTGGTCACTTTTACCCCCTTTCTGCCCAGGCCAATTTTCAGTTTTCAGCGCTCTCACAGTTTGAATGACAATTGCGCGGTCATGCAACACTGTACCCAAACAAAATTTTACAATTTTGTTCACACAAGTAGAGCCTTCTGTTGGTGGTTTTTAATGTGGTATTTGTGGTGGTATGTACTGACATCCTGTCTAATTTCTTGAGGCCCAAAAATGTCAGAACAGTACAGCTATCCCCCAAATTACCCTTTTTTTTTTTTTTAAAGTAGACAGTCTGTGGTAGTTAGTAAGAATATTTTTTTTTTATTATTATTATTAACATACTGTCACCAGTGCAGTACAGAGTCATACTATAACTGGTGTGGCAGTGATCAGGGACACTAACTGGTGACAGTATGGTAAAAAAAAAAAAAAAAAAAAAAAGTAATATGTTTTTCTTCAATTTGTTTTTTTTATGATTTTTTTTTTTTTTAATAAAACACTGTGATCAGAGTAATATAATGTTACCATATTGACATTATACCACTCTGGGGAAGTGATCAGTAGTTATTTATTTATTTTTTACACATTATGATTGCCTACAGCAGTGAATTTCACTGCTATAGGCAAGCATTTAATGGAATTAAATCAATTCATTCAGTGTTTTTCGTTGTGATTAGCTGTGATTTGGCCACAGCTTATCATATGACACAGATGGGCTGCGATTGGCCAATCACAGCTAGCAACACAATCATATACAATGGATGGCATGAAAGGAAGTCATCCATTGTTTACAATTGTCATGTGACCTGCTGTGATTGGTCACAGTAGTCACATGATACTGGCAATGGGCCGGTACACAGACTGGTCATCAGTTATGTCCGATAGTTGGTGACAGATATTGCCACAGCGCAGCAGCAGTCCGGGAGGACATAATGACGCCCACCTGGATCGACAAAAGTCCTGTTCGCCCATCATTTTGCTATTGGCCGGGTGAGAACTAGTTAAAATTATCCCAGGTAAGCCCTACACCTTCCACGCATGTGTGATAAATACCCTATTCATTCCAGTGAAACAATTGTACAAATTCTACATTCCATTCCAATGGAACACCTATATACCATGTGAACTCCATTTTTATTCCAGTGAAAACATCATATACCTCCTGGACCCTGTTCATTTCAAAGCAACATCCAAACACCTCTTGTGGACTCTATTTGTTTTAGTATAATGTCCATACCGACTCCATTCAAGCTCATTGTAATAGGAATGAATGTGGTGTCAATCAGGAAATACAGCAAAGAACCTAATGGAAAGGGGACAAGTAACTGTGTATCTGAACAGAACTCTTGGTGGAGGGCATCAGGGTCCACAAGGGGAAGGAGCACTTTGGAAAGAAATGGCCTGTAGCAGGGGCTCTCATTTTCCAATGAGTAAAAATTCTATTTAAACATACATAGACAAACATAAAACATTTGGTCCTGACATTTATTTTTGCATATAGCTATCCAACTAGCTCAATCCTTTTGCTGGAAATTGGTCCTTCTTTATCTGAAATGACCCCAAAATCTTAGACTGCAAGCCATTGTGTTCATATGTTTCAGCCTCACACACTGGAGCTCGAGAGGGAGGTTGCACAGAAAATATACTAGTGAAAATAGAATTGTGGTTATTTTTGAGCTCTATGATTTGTGAGCCTGGAGTAATTTATATCTTCTGCAGTTTCTTTCTTGGTTTGGGAAAGAAGAAATCTTGCATCATTTAAGTGGTTATAAAACTTTTTTTTTTTTTTTTTTTTTTATAACAAAACATTTTATACTTACCTGCTCTGTGAAGTGGTTTTGTACAGAGCAGCCCCACTCCTCTTCTTCTTGGGTCCCCTGCCAGCACTCCTGGCTCTTTTAACACTAGCACCCCAAACCCACCCCACCCCCCGCCCCAGTGAGTGTCCCCATAGCAAACCACTTTCGATGGGAGCATTCGTGTGGGCTCGCTCCCATCCATAGCCACAGCCCTGCTCACTCTGATTGACAGCAGCAGGATCCAGTGAGGAGGAGGGAGAGAGCTTCAGCTGTCGTTCGCAGCGCTTGATCAAGATCTGGCTCAGGTAAGCATAAGTAAGGGGGAGGGGTGAACAGCATTACTGAAGGTTTTCTTACCTTAATGCAGAGAATGCATTAAGGTAAAATGCATTTTTTGCATCCAGTAATTAAGGTAAAAAATAATTACTTTTACATTTAAGGGAATCGCCTCCTGTAAAGTATGGTACCAGGATTATGGTATAACCAGCTCAAACCCAGACTGTATGTGTATGTTCTGAGGTGGTTAAAGTGGTTCTAAAGACTGAAGGTTTTTTTTACTTTAGTGCATCTTTCCCCCCAACCCGATCTCGGGGGCGCGAGACATGCTCTGTGTGCAAGTGTCTAAATATGGAGAGCACCCGGTGAGGGGGAATCGGGGCTGCTCTATGCAAACCATTTCACAGAGCAGGTAAATATGACGTTTGTTACTTAAAAAAAAAATGGGTTTACAAATCACTTTAAATGCTAAGACCACCTTTTTGCACTTTTGCAAAAAAACAATAGATGTGCATATATTTGCAGAAAAAAATGTCCATTTATAACTTCTTTGCAACTGAACATGCATAACATTGCAACAGCGATCAGTGGATAGAAACATAAGGGAGAAACCTCATTGGCAGCTTAGAATGAGAACAATGGGGGTCTAATACAGACTACTTAAAGTAATACTAAACATACACTGTTTAATTTACATGATCCATTCTCTATATGTATACCAATGTTGGCACTGTATTTATTTTAATAAAAATCTAAGTACCTTTTTTCATAATTGGTATACAGCTGTCATGTGACCCAGCTCTGTCCCAGTCTGTCTGCAAGAAAACATTGGTGGGAGGAACTTATAGTCATCTGCTACTGGAAATACAAAGGAAAAATACATAATTAACCACTTAAAGGATAAGTTCACCTTTTGACAAAAAAATAATAAATGCACATTTTTTTTTAGGTTTTCTCATTTATAGAGAACTGTGAATAGGTGATGCGGATGGGTGCATGGAGCACCGCACTGCCTCATTTTGAAAATATTTTGACAGCTAGCGGGGGGAGAAGATTCCAAGCTGTCAAAGTAGAGCAACCAGGGCTGGTCCATTCATAACATGTTACATCCTGACTATGGGTGTAACAATTTCTGAAAGGTGAACTTCTCCTTTTACCCCCTTCATGACCAGGCCATTTTTTTTGCTATTTGACACTGCGCTGCTTTAGCTGGAAATTGTGCAGTTATACAACACTGTACGCAAATGAAATATATATAATTTTTTCACACAAATTGAGCTTTCTTTTGGCTGTATTTGATCACCACTGGGTTTTGTTGTTTTTTATTATGTAAACGAAGATAGACTGAAAATATTTTTTGCTTTGTTATAAAAACATATCCAATTAAAATATCCAATTAAAGAAAAAAAAACCCAATAAGTGTATATTAATTGGTTTATGTGAAAGTTATAGCGTCTACAAACTTTGGTATATAAATTTGAATTCTGAAGTACTGACGACCGATCTCATTTCTTGAGGCCCTTTAAAATGCCAGTACAGTACAAATGCCCCTCAAATGAACTCTTTTTAGAAAGTAGACAGTCTGATCGATTTTAAAAATAGTTCCTGCAGTACTTTTTGTGATTTCGGGTGCAGCTTTCATAGTCATCAGTGCATGAAGTCGCACAGATGTCTTCTAAGTTGGACCTGAAGTTGCACTGCCATGAGACTTTGAAATTGTGCAACGTGCCTTGAAGTCGCACAGTGTGAACCAGGGCTTAGAGTAGTTCAGTGTCACCACAGTAACACTGTACTACTCTGAGGGGGTGATCCAGGATTTTTTTTTTTATACATTTAAATGCTGTTTCAATGATTATTGTAACAGCAATGCTTTAAACTGTCATGAACAACTTTCACGCATAACAGCTGTGACTACTAGTAATCTCTGATTGGCTACAGCTAATCACATGGTACAGGGTGCTGTGATTGGCCTTGATACTATGTGATTGCTGTGGACCAATCACAGCTCACTGCTAAAGGAAACAGAGGTCTTATGAATGTCACCATTTTTTTTTTTGTAAATATATTTCTAAGGGTGCTATTGACATGAAATTTTCACCACATGTCGGTAACAACCCATGCAATCCATACATATAAAGAACCCAAAACAAATTGGCATCGATAAACACAACACAGAAATGGGAGTCCTTCAAAAAGACTGTATGTGAACACATTGCAAAATCTATTCCTATGGGCAACAAGTTTAAAAGGCTAAAAATCAAACCTATGTGTCTTACGGCCAAAGTTAAAAAAGCTATAGATAATAAGAAAAGAGCTTTTTTAAATATAAAAATGAAGGAACTCTATCATCATTTAAACATTACAAAGAATATAACAGAATATGCA